CATGCTTGTCTGTGTGAAATACATACAGTGCTGAGAGACGGGGAGAAAAGTCTCCTCCGACAGAGTTCATGGGATTCTTTAGAAACTGCAGGATGCTGAGGCTTGTCTGTGGAATTGTAAAAGCTTTGCAGGGCCCATGTTGAGCATTTGCATGATTTTCAGATGGCAGAGTGTGTTCAGCTGTCTCCCTGCACCCTCCCGTGTGTGCACGCATGCACTTCGCTGGAGAGGGAGGGAATTCTCAGCACAGTTTTCGTCGGGCTTTGCATTTGTTAAATATATATTATTGAAATGCTGCCCGGGATGCATCACTTCATCTTGTGTAGAACTTAAATCATCACGTTGCATGATATGGTAAAATAGAAGAGATTGTGAAAGAGACAACTGTAAACATTCTGCTTGAAAAGATGTGCTCTTTTCAAAAGACCTTTCTGTTACAGCCAAATAACACAAGAAGCAATATTTCCTTGCTCACAGAGACATATATATATATTTATTTCTGTAGAGATTTGTTTTGGATTCTCAGTTCTTCAAGTATCTGCATTTTTGAAAAAATTTTGTATTTCCATGTTGACTTTCTCTATGCTTTAACTTTTAATCAAAGGTTCCTTGCTTCTGATGTTGAGTACTGATGTTAGCCTGTTTACATTGCACTATTTTTCCTCTGTATGGGGTGAACATTCAAGTGTGGTGGTGCCTTTTTGCTTTTATCTACCAAACTTAGCACGCTCTCTTATTATTGACAGCTCAGAAAGATGGTATGCAAGTGGGCAGGATGCTGTGAATTATTAACTTTTCTTTGCACTTTGACAAATTTAGGTTATCCTTGTAAAGACAAATAGTTTCTCTGGAGGAACCAAGACAGTAGAATGGTAAATAAGGCATTGCAAACTCAAGTTAAAAATTTTTAGCCAAATGTGAATTTACCATGTTTCTGAAACGTGATTCTGAGTTACAGTCCTTTCATAGAGCTTGTATTTTTTATTTAATATACTAAAATATCAGAGGAAAGGTATTTGTTTGTGATGTTCCCTTTCATTTTGTTTTTCTACGTACATTGATCAATAAAGCATTAAAGAATGTATATTACCACTAAAAACCCCCTCTACCTTTTTTCCTCGGAAACGCGATTTTGCAAAAGCAGTTTATTTTCTCCTCTCAGTAAAGAGCCTGCACTCAACTAATCTGTAGGCAGATATGGAGTGCAGGAAACATATGTTTGCCAGGAAGCTTTCCTATAATCAAAATGGTCAGCAGGACAGAAACAATGCTTTTTCTCATTAGATATTAATCTTCTTCCATTTTTGAAAAAAAAACCAACAAACAAAACCAGTCACATCCAACAGTGATTAATGTACACAAAGAGTGAATCAGAGACAGCATATGGTGCGTGTGGTAAGAGACTCAGTCAGTGTTTGGGTTGTGCTGGAAGTCGCAGCCCAAGCCCCAGGAAGGTCTTTGCAGCTGGGAAGCTGTTGTGTGTCTGGGTGGCAGCAGCAGGAGCCCTGCCAGCCGGGGCACAGCTTGCCTTGAAACCTTTAGCAGGAAGAGGGGGAACGTTGATTTCGGCTGCCAAACAAAATAGGTTTGTTCCAGGTACAGTGTGGCAAGAGCAGGTTGAGTGCAGGTTGGTTAGAAAATGCAGTGCTGAGAACACTCACGGGGAATTGCATTGGAGATCCAAAGTTAGTGGTGACAACATCCATTATTGGCAGAGCCACACACTTGAGCCTGAGAAACTCTGGAATGATGCTGAAGCATTCACATGGCGGTTGCTCAGACTTCCATCCTGTGGCAGTGCATCTGTTTATCGGGAATTATCTCCTGAATGTAAATGAATTTCAGTCCTAAGTCATTGCACCTGTTGCCAAGAGGTATTTATTCCAATCACTTGCCTAAAGCGTGGGGAGTTATTGCTCGACGTTTTATAGCTCCAGAAGAAGCTGTCGTTTCAAAATCATTTGTTCAGAGAGGAGAAAATGGAGCAAAACAGTTCATTTTACCCTAAGCACTGCTATTTGGCAGTATTCACATTTGCACGGCACAAAGCTGCAATATTGATTTTTCGCTCACAGGGCCTCCCACAAGTTCTTTCTTCGATTGTCAGGATTGCAAGATGGATTGAATTACACTTTGCTTGTTGATACACTTATTTTTTCTTTGGTGATAGGAGAAAATTACAAATAAAGCTTCAGCATAAAGATCACAGCAGCTCTGCCAGTGGACTTTAAATTTATTTATTTTATTTAGTTAAAATTCTTTCTGCGCCATAGAGATTCCTTAGAGCAGCATTCCCACCTAGCATACACTGCGTTGTTTTGCTTTATTGCTTTTTACTTTTGCAATGTAACACCTACATTGCAATCTCAGGTGTGTCCTCTGTTGCCTGTGAAGTGATCTAACCTTGCTCTAGTATTTTTTATGTTTGTTCTAATACAGAAGTTCTAATACAGAACTTCTCACGGATGCCTGCAGGGGGAAAAATTGCAGGATAAAACACATTCACAGTCCTTATAGTGGTTGCCATAGATGATGAAATAAGATTTGCAGGCAGCTGATTTCTTTGTAGCAAGCTGCAGAGGTCTCGTGTTTGAATTCAGGATGCTTCCTGGCAGAAGTGGAGCCTGTGCTGCAGGATCCGTGAGGTCGGTGCCCGTCACAGGGAGCTCGGTGTGGCACGTGCTGCAGCCGTGCCCTGCCCACCCTGCCCCTGCCCTCCTGCCCTGGTCAGACACCCCTTTGGGCAGCTGCAGGAGCTGCTCCCCTCCTTGCTGATGGAAACCTAAGGAGTCTGGGAGCAGTGGGCTCCTTGGCCAGGCCGTGGTGGTGCCACACGTGGTGAGTGCAGTGCTGCCAGCTGGAGGGGTGAGCTTATCTGGACAGCACTAGAGCTGACAGGAGGGGGGATGCAGCAATGGCAGTGACTAGTGGCATTACATTGGGTCCCCCCCGTGGCTGTCACGGTGGTCACTGATCAGAGGAGCTGCTGTGTGCCCATGGTGGGGGGCTCTGCTGTGCCCTCCCTGTGCCCACCTCACGCCCTCGCTGAGCCAGGAGCAGCCTCTGCCTTCCTCGTATTAATTTGCTGCATGGGAGGAACATGGAGGGTGTAAATGTGACGGATTCGTGTTTCAGCTCTTCCCAGCTTTCAGCTCGTGACACTTCAGCAAGCCTCTAATAATAGTGTGTGTTATTGCTTGTGGCATGTGTGGCTGAACTGGTGGCCAGGAGTGAGCTGGGGATGGCACTTGGTGCTTTCCCAGCTCCCCCATCAGCAAACCCTGAAACGTGCTGGCAGGGTAACAGGGCTGCTTTCACGTAGGAGAGGATCCCACAGAATGTTAGGTAAAGGCAGAGCTGGTCACTGTGCTCTTGCCTTTTGCTTCCCCCATGCCAGGGGAATCCACGGCCAGTGCAGGAGCTGCTCCTTCTGGAACTCACCGGTTCTTCTGAAGTGGGGTCACACCAGCCCCTTGTGTCAGATCATACACAAGGGGTACAAAGGCTGGTGCTGGTGCCAGGGGAAGGCAGGGACATGCAGGTACTGGAGGGGTGGATGGGGGGATTGGCTCTATCTGGCGTGATAGTTATAAAAAACTTTATTTTTGCAGCCTGAACAGATAATCATCTTCATACGGTAGGAGTTTTAATCCACAGATCATTAATTCAATAGAAAAAGTGACAGCCTCTGGTTCATGTGAAAATTTCCTATCAAAGGGTTATCTCAAGTTGTCTTGTGGGTTTTTTAGATCTTATTTCCCTGCCTCTTCTAAGAAAAGTTTATTTTCTTTGCCTTCAAAACACCGTAGAGCTCCAACTTTCCATATGTAGGAGCTGTTCCTCTGTGCTGTCACAACTGGTCTCCAACAACCTGCACTGAAATATTAATGGCCTTGTGCTACTGTGTTACAAAGACATTTTTAAAAAATAGGAAATATCTATAATTCTAGTAAAAATTTAGGAAGGATTTACTATTTTAAAGAAATAGGATTTTGGCACTACCATGTTACCCAGCTTGTCTTCCAAAAGGCAGTAATGCACACAGATTTGTAAGAAACAGGAATACTCTGATAATAATCCATCAGTAACTGTGTACAAGAAACTGTAGTATACAGATAGTTTTTCTTCTGATGTAATATATTTTTTGCATAAAGAAATGTCTCTAAAAGACTAAACACGTGGATGAATAGCTGAACCTTGTTTTGTTTCTAAAGTATTTTATACTGCTTCAGTAGGGAAGTTACTTATTTTTAGAAATTCTCTTATGTAGAAAAAGCATTTTAAAAATGAGAATTCTGTGAAACACATGTATCATTTTTGGGAGGGGGAGATATTGTTCAAATCTGCAATTTGTGGTACTAGTCGCTGCTATATTTTTTCAAAATCTTTTCTATATGTGGTTTGATTTATGTAAAAGACATGGTGAGGGGCACTGAAGTTCAACCAGGTATCAGCATGTCTATTGGATCAAGTCACAAAATAGCTAAGCAAAAGTAACCAACTCTTCCTGGAGAGAGTGAGACGCAAAGTAAGAAAGACTAATGAAGTTGGAAGTTGGAACTATGGCTTTAGTTTTTTTTGTGGTTGTTTTGTTTTCTTTTTTTTAAAATCACTTCTGCAAATCCTGCCTGCTCTGCTGCCTTCAGACACAGCCTGCCTGACTGTGCCCAAGGAGTGGAGACAGGAGCAGAGAGAAAAGAGGTGGGCAGTGGAACGTGCAGTGTAGTCATGCAGACAGGCTCCACTGTCTGCCTGCACCAGGATTAGAAGCAGTGACAAGGAACTTCCTCCTTTCCCAGATTAAGGACCCAGCAGTGATGCAGGGATGTGACAGTTCCATGAAAGATGCTCCACTTGGTGTGGTGCCAGGTCAAACCGCGTAAGGGTGCCCTGCCTTCAGCACACTGGTGGAGTCAGTGCTGGTGTGACAGAAAAGGAGGAGTCCAGTGCCATTTATCCTTTGGGTTCAATCCCCTTTTCCCCTTTCTCCCCCTCCTTAGGTTTCAGCCGGGCAGCACTCCCGTTTGGTTTGGTGAGGAGGGAGCTCTCCTGCGAAGGTTACTCCATCGACCTGCGGTGCCCGGGCAGCGATGTCATCATGATAGAGAGTGCCAACTACGGGCGGACAGACGACAAGATCTGTGATGCTGACCCCTTCCAGATGGAGAACACGGAATGCTTCCTGCCAGACGCCTACAAGATTATGACACAAAGGTAAAAATACACAGAACATGTTGAGGACCAGAGAGGAGAAATGCCTGAATTGATAGAGAGAGTTATGTACTGTAGAACTACTGTATCCTGAAGGAAGTGTTGAGTTGCAGTTGCCACTTTGCTATTCAGGTAGTATTATTTCTATCTAATAATATTAAAAGGAAATGTATACTACCAGTTGCAATAAGAAGGGTTGGGTTTTTTTTCCCTCCTTTTGTGAGCAAAGGTTAAAAGGCAGGAAGATAACTGCAAAGAGAATAAAACAGTTCACTTATTTGGAGATTCCTTATCTCCTTGTCTTTCAGGTGGTCAGACAACCCTCAGAATGGTACCAAATGGCTACTGCATTTTTCAGTAAATGAAGTAAATCACTGCTATAGTTCCCACCCAAAAATGCAACCAGTGGAAAATGTCAGAATGATTGCCTGGCAGGATGATTATATGTCATTGTACACGTGTGTATAAGCATACATGTGCACATAAGCACAAGTTACATTCTCTCAGTGACAGCAGTTGTCATTCAAAGACAGGAGAACCAACAGAACCAATTTAGGTAGGGAAAGACTTCTCAGATCATCAAATCCAACCATTAGCCTAGCACTGCCAAGTCCACCTCTAAACCATGTCCCCAGGTGCCAGTAAAAGTAGTTTTAGTGCAAAGGCTGCATCAGAGCTCAGACTCACAGACAGTCCTGTGCTAAAGGCCATGTGCAGGCAGCAGTCACCTCGTGCTGACAGTTGTGGAAATGTCAGCACAAATCAGTCCCTGGCACTGCTGCTGCCTTAAACTGCAAGCCTGGAGAAGTTCAGCCTTGGTGGGAAGTTTTCTTCCCAGTGCATTTTTTCCTAGGGTGAGGAATCTGAACGAAAAGGAGATGGGAATAACCTGGGAGCTTTCTGTGCATGTACACAGATGTGTCAAGGGAAGTATGCAGGTTGTCCTGCGTGCTGTGCTTCATTTCCTCTGCTCTGTTTGGACCTCAGAACACTCACTAACACAGAGTCACCTCTTCACATAATCTTCCATTTCAATTCACCAATTCACTCAAGTTGTCGTGAGTGGGACTCTTAGAATTTTTTATTATTTTTATGTGAATATGTGGATGTTTTCTACTTCTGTAGTCAGATATTTCAGACTTCAATTTCAAATGCTGGAGGTAAATTAAGGATATCAGGCCTTTTATTCTTCTTCAGTGTTGAACCTGTGGCTTGTTCTGTGATCAGTAGGGAAAGGCTCCATTGCTACATTAGTAAAAAGGTAATATAACTTCTTTAAATCATGTTTGAATTATCTTCTTGTGGTTCTACTTCGTAGTTGTTAATTAGATCAAGCCAGATTTCCATTGAGACTGCAGCAGCAGTGTCATCATCCTCTAATCTGTCAACTCCCTTTGAAACCACCTTCAATTGCTTTTGTAAATGTAGTGCCTCTCTGTAGACTTCCTTGTTGTGTAAAATGCATGTTGTGTTTTGATCAAAGTCTTCCTGATGTTCACTGCAAATATACAGATTAAGGTAGTCAGAGACAAATACAGAGGCACAATCTTGCTTGAAGTGACATCAGACTGTTACTGGAAAGCTGAAATTTCAATCCTTCCCTTTCAGTTAATCAACTCTAAGGTTATGATAGCAGAGAGTATTTTTGAACATCCCCCATCTTCTACTCTTATGCTTTATTCAACATTAAAAGGAAGCTGTGATCACATGTAGGACATTGGTTCAGATTATCTATGCTCAGAGAGTTTTTCATTTTTGTTCTCTTTTTTTTTGTCTGAGCAAATGGCAAAGATCATTTGACACTTTGCTTTCTATTTTTGTCTGGCATTTTTAGCAATTTGCAAGTTTGCTTTCATAGTTTTCTTTCTCAGAACCTGTCATTAAGTAGAAAAGCTGTTTCTTGTCTTGCTTAATCTTTTCCAAAATTGCTCAATTTGTGCTGTATTGCAAGCATAGGAGAATGTTGCAAATTTCTTATGAAATATTAGAAGTTCTTGTTCATTTATTTATAACTACATTGGTGATCATAATTTTTTGTTGTCTAAGCAAACTTTTGTTTGGTGCTCAGCACATGTCCTTGATCTGATGTATAAAAGTAACACATCAGCTGTATTTTAATGGCAGCAATTGCATAGAAAAATCTCACCTGAAGGACTAGCAGATTCATTGATTTTCCTTTTTTTTTAACTGATAGAAAGAAAAAAAAAACATTTGGTGACAGGGAAAGCTTTTCTTCCCTGCCTTTATAAATAAGCAGCAATAGTTTCTCTGTTGCTACTTAATCTTACAGTGTTTACTTTTAAGGACTAATGACATGTTTTTGTCAAGTCAGCCGTGTCACCACTGCATTTGACCACTCAATTCAGTTTAGACGTGCAGTTAAATGTAGTTCCACGGCAATTATTAAATACTCATCATTCACTTGCAACATCACTCCACAGCTTTTGCACAGCAACTCCATTTACTGCAATTACGAGGTGAAAACAGTGGCTTAATGAGATCAATGCTGTGAAATCTGAAGATTGAAAAATAAGATGAGGTTTCCAGTTTAACACAAAGCCATGTAATCACGTGCCCTGCTCCCCTTCCAGAGAATTTGAGATACTGGCACACACTTTGCCAGTGCCCACTGATGCATCAGCTCCTCTTTCTCAGGGTGAGCTGCTACTTAATCTTTTCTCCTTCACCCTTTTCTTTCCTTTCAGGAGTTCTTTCAAAAGATTTTTAGCTTAATGCTTTCCTGGGAAACCTGACTGGAACACTAATGACTTCGTTGCTTTTCTTTTACTTTTGTAAAGTAGTTATTAAATTTTCGGTCCCTGATTGAAATTACATCCCAATTATTCCAGAATAAAGTCTTCCAGATGTATTTAGGTTCTATGTAAACTTCAGACTGGCATGGTTAAAATTAAAGCTTTGAAGAAAGAGACTAGACCTTTAGAAAATCCTTCTCCTCTCTTACACTTCTCTGATAATTAACCCCAGTGTTTGCATACCGTCAGGTTTGAGAGATCCTACCACGTGCTGAAGTTCAGTAGAGAAATAAGCTTATTTCTAGAATATTTGGTGAGCAAGTAGCATAAGTGAGTGGCAGAGGACCCACGTTTCAGGGACTTAGATCTTAAAATAATCAGACTCCTCGGTGCTCCACTGTCCTTTAGCAGGGACAAATCTCTGTTTCCTTTTCATTTAAAACGAAATTAAATGAACAGGGAAGCAGAAGATGCAAAGCAGCCTGAGGAAATTGCTCTGGCTGCTTGCTCATAAAGTGCATTTGTGTGGCTGCAGCAGAAACTGTCACGGAACTTTGAAGTCGATCAGGGTAACTAGTCCTGCTCTTTGTGGGCATGGCAGGGATTTGGCAGTGAACAGGATAAAATTGCCCTGTGCCCTGGCCTTAGATCCTGTCCGTGGCAGGCAGAGTGCAGGTGGGTCGTGGGAGCTGTGTACAAAAATCCTGCGTGGTCATCAAGAGTTTCTGCCTCCAGTGCCAACTGCAAAGGACAACAGGTTTTTGTTAGGACAGGCACTGAAGGGTTACGTAGATACCACAAAGTGTCAGCCTTTCTGTTTTATTAACTTAAAATAATAACAGATATTTAAAAGTGCTTGTAAATACATAATTAAAATTCATTTCAAATCGAAGGCCTATAGTGTATGTCGTTTTATAGTGGAATGATAAGATGCTAAGATGGATTTTTGCATGCTGCCACCTTTATTTTAAATTTAAAATAGTGGTTATTTAGTAGGAATCATTTTTCCTAGTCCTAAATTTTTTGTTTGGCAAAAGTTCATGTTTATTTATTATTGTTATTTGTTGTCACAGTTGGATATGATAACTGTCTTTATAGTTCCAGGACAGTGCAATTAGATCTTTTTTTTTTTTTTACCTGCAAATTTTAAATCTTGATGAATACCATATTTAAAAAATGTCAGGTCTCTTCCAATCTGTACACTTTATTTTTTGAACAGCTTCTAGTTATAGCTGTTGTTGGGACTAGTAGAAAATTAATGGTTTGTATTTAAAGAAAATGCAGTCTATTCACTCTTAATCTATGAAATCATTTACCTAGATGCAAAATTCAAGCATTTACTCTTGACAGTCAAATTAATGTTAACTTCATAAGAAAACATTGTTCCCCTCCTAACAGAGGCTAAAATGCCTTGAATTTTTAATTTTTTTTTTAAATGCTCTGATACCAAGAGTATAGTTGTAAACATTAAAAAGAAGAAAATGCAAAATGTTTAAACTTCCTTTACAAGCCATGTGAACATCCACATTAGAAAAAAGTAATCTCACAGTTGGTATATTGAGTTTATTTTTGAGCTGCAACAGAAAGGCAGTTGCATCAATTCTGCACTGAAATGGCCTTTAAATTCTATTTTCATCTATTTATACTATAATTGTAGCTTTATGTGAACTTTACATTTTTACTAAACGTAATAAATCACTATCATTTTGCTTTTTAAATTTGCACCAACAAAGCAAGCCTCATTTTCATAGGTAACGTTAAATATAAAAATGCATCAGGTATAATAGATGAAATTAGGGAACTGTAATTTTTTCAAATACCCTTCCCTTTTAAACCATTGTTGCAGAAAAGGATTAAAAGAGGAATAAATTCTCTTCAGCAGTGTTTGCTTTTCCTGTGGCACGTCCCCTGTCCTATCTATAGCCCAGGCCACACATGTACCTTCAGTTATTCTGTCTGTGGTGACCCCAGGGAGCAGTTCTAGTTTGGGTTTTTGTTACCACCAACTTCCCTCCCATGGCAATGCTCTTAACCTGCCCTGTCCATCACCCCTCTGCCAGACAGCTGCACTGAAGCGGGGGTCTCCAGAATGTCAGGGCGTGCCTCCTGCCCCACAGGGTGATCAGGGGAAGCTGGAGGAAGCAGCATCATATCCATTCCTTCTCCCAGGACTGATTTTTTTCTTAATCCATCCCATGGGAGGTTGGGAGAAGGGAGGCATTCATTCTTTTCCACCTAGTCATATATCCA